GTGGTCCCAGCTACTTGGGAGGCAGAGGCAGGAGACTCGCTTGAGCCCAGGAGTTGGAGGTTGCTGTGAGCTGTGATGCCATGGCACTTTACCCAGGGGGACAGCTTGAGGCTCTGTCACACAAAAAAAACTTCATATCAATAAGACACAGACAATTATGTAGTCTGCAGGTTTTGACAACAGGTTTTTTGTTTTTTGATTTTTTTAGAGACAGAGTCTCACTTTATCACCCTTGGTAGGATGCCGTGGCGTCACAGCTCACAGCAACCTCTAGCTCATAGGCTTAGACGATTCTATTGCCTCAGCCTCCCGAGTAGCTGGGACCACAGGTGCCCACCACAATGCCCAGCTCTTTTTTTTGCAGTTTGACCAGGGCTGAGTTCAAACCTGCCACCCTCAATATATGGGGCTGGCGCCCTACTCACTGAACCACAGGTGCTACACAACAGGTTTTTTTTTTTAAGCATAATATTCTATCAAGAAATTAACAGAAGTTTTAATAAAATAATGCTATAATCATTTGGCAGAAAATTTTTCTTAGAAATTTGAATATATGATTATTACAAATAAGAATGTAATTTTTTGCCCAAATTATCACTTATTTACTGCGGCAAATACACGTACATTTCTGGAATGTGCAAATCCCCCTTCTCACCACCAGGTGGTATTCCCTGCCTGAAATTTTATCCCAATACCTTCTAAGATGTACCGTTATCTGAGGCTCAGGATTATCTTTCTTCTAAAGAGAACTTTACTCCCTTCAAATTCCTAGATGGATTTACAAAGTTGGTCTGCCATATAGCTAATAAACACACAAATGATTCACACGTTTGTCTTTGGTGGTGAGGTGTTACAAAACACAAAATGAAAAATCTAAACTAATGTGAATAAGGTTTCTTAGTGCTATACATCTATATCAGGTTACAGTATCCATGAAAGATCTCTAATAAGATCTAAGGTATACAGGATTAAAAATGGGACCAACAGCTAACATTTCATGTATTTTTAGTGTTCTTCCTTTGCTTTAGATTCTAGAGTCTACAACTCTTAAGACAGTTAAGATGTTTGTTTGCTAGTAAAATCAGCATTCCTCAGAAGTAAGCTATGGTATCTTCTCTTAGGAAGGCAGTTAAAATTTTTTTTAAATAAAGTTAGCTGTGGAATGTTATGCAGTTTGCTCCCCGGCCCTAAGGTCAGAGAAGGCAATTCTCAATTTCCCAAACCACTGTCAACAGCTATGGAATCTCTCCAGCTTCCACTCCAGAGTACTTAACAAGTCTTTCTGTCTCTGAGGAACACAAGACTAAACTTAGAGTAACTCTGGAGCCACTGACAAGGCTCCAGTATAGAAATAGAGGTAATATTTCCAGGATAAGCCAAAGGACATCTCTTCTGCATTCCCCAGCCCTCCACACTGCCCCCACCTGACACCCCTACTACAAACTTTCCCCAGTGTGATAGTGATAGTTCTATCTTAGACATCCAGGCTCTTTTAGTTTTGAGCCACTGGATTTATTATTGAATAACTTTATGCTCCATAAAAGATCCTAAAATGGAAGAGAAAAAATGCAAGGGGCAAAAGTTACTTATGTGACTGAAAATGTGCAGAAATGGTGTAGTTGTTAAAAATACAATCTTTGTAGCTAGAAAGACTTAGGTTTGAATGCACCTCCATCAGTGATTACCTCTGTGACCTTCAGAGAGCTACTTATATTTCCTAAGTCTCAGTTTCCTCATCTATAAAAATACGTACAATAACATCCATGTCATGGTGCTTAGAACAGAGAAAGAGAACAATAAATGAGAGCTACATAAAAGAACATAGAAGAGAAGGAGGTTCCCAGGGCCCATTTCCTGATCATCATCATCAGGGGCCATTACCCCATTCATATGGATAAACCAACACTTCATGCAACACCACAGAATATTTCTTTTTAGAAAGAAATGAGTTCCAGTCCTAAAATCTAAGAACCAAAACTAACTGAATATGGGAAAGAAGAAATTTACCCTACATCCAATTTCAAAGTCTTCTAGAAAACATGAAATTTTAAGCAGCTTCCTTTATCACTCTCAAAATACTTTTGGAAATGGACTACCTAAACTCCTACCTGTTTCCCTTC